ATATATATATATGTAAATGAAGAAAAAAGATGAAAGAAGTAAAAAAAAAAGAAACGCATGTTAGCGCGTTAAGTTTTTAGGAAAGACTTTTCGAAAAAAATAATAATAATAACAAATGTAGCTGAGTTATGTAGTTGATAGAAATTCGTTCGATGACTGCTTTAATACTAAGGAGAGAAACGAGAGAGAAGACAGAGATGAGAGTTTCTTATTATTATTGTTATCGTTATTATTAGTAACGCTATTATTAAAAATTTGTACTAAACGATAAACACATGGAGCATAACGGCAAAATCATCACGAAATATGACTAATATTAATTGCTAGTTCTTGCTCTGCCTTTATCTAAAAATTAAATGAAATTATTAATTTAAAAAGACAAATAGTGCGATAATGAAAAATATAAAACATCTACATAAAACATCAATATAAACATTTTAAACTTAAGAAATATAGAAGAAAAGAGGATCAATATGAGTTATTTATGAAATAATTAGATTATTGGCCTTTTTATGTTATTTTCTTCTAAATGTTAAATTATTAATACTGATCTCTCTATTTTTAAATATTTTTCATTCAACAATTGAAAATTTAATATTGTGAAAGAATAATTGTTATTTAAATAAGTACATTATTATTTCGAGGTTATTGTGTTAAATCTAGTAGTATATTATTCGTTTATTCATTAAAAATTATTTGTTTTGTTGTTGTTATTATTAACATATTTAAATGTATTTTTATATTTTATATTTTATATTTTTATATTTTAAAACACATTTTAAGTTTTTTTTTTGTTATTAAATTCTTAAGATTTTCGAATATTATATTATTATATTCATTTTTTAAATACAACTAAAAAATTTTTAATTTGTTTTGTTCTAATTCTATTTTGTAACTAATTCTATTTTTATACAGAATATTTTACATATAATTTTTTAATCTATAATAATATGTAATATATGAAAATTGGTATGCCATAAAAAATAAAAGCACAGATAAAAAGTGAGAGGGAAAAAGACATTAATATATTGTAGAACCATTTTTGTACGGAAGACAGAGGAACGAAAAGTATTTTTGTTATTTGAATATGTTAAATTTATAAATACACTCTAATCCTTATCCTTGAATCACAGGGGGTAATAATGAAAAATAAATTAGTAGTACATTCAATCTATAAACGATAAATAAGAAATTGATAATAAAATGAGATTAATTTTATCGCTGACAGAGAGGTCAAAATAATTTAATAATAAAATATAATATTTGTATGCTTTTTTTAAACTAATTTTATTTATTAATTTACTTTGTTAATTTTTTTTTTTATTAATTTACTTTGTTAATTTCACAAATAATTTTCTAACTTTCTTTACTAAAAAGCTTGATAGCTGTAACTTATATACAACAAATTCTTAATATATTTTTATTACAATTTAAAATTAAAAATA